CGGGACGCGCAGCCACAGGGCCGCCTCCTCCAGAAGGGCCGCCGGGCGTGGCTCGAGCGCTTGCAGAGCGGCCTCCAGTCCGCTAAGGCGCCACTGCAGGGCGCCGCCGGCGCGGGGCGCGCTCTCCACCGCCCGCCGCTTCTCGCGCACCTGGGAGCGCACCTCGGCCACCTCCAACACGGGATGCTCCACCCGGAGCCCTGCGGTCACCTCCTCTTTGCGCTGTTCCACGAGCCCCACGATGCGGTTCCACCTGCCCAGGGGAAAGAGGGCGACTTGAAGAGGAGCCAGGAGACGAGATTCTTCAGATATCAAGTGACTTGGCATAGACGCGTACTAGGGAAGGCCCCAGAGCAATGACCTGGGAAGATCATGGAACCTCCAGTGACAGTGGAGGAGATGCTAACGGTCCTGTTCATGGGGGACGGGATGGTCTGAATCGTACACAGTGCTGTAAACTGGATGACCCCCTCCAAAAAATACCTTAATCCCCGCTGTAACTGTTGAGGGGGGGAACCCAATTATGGTAATTGAAAGGTGGAGCCTTGAAAAGGCGGTTAGATTGTAGGACCTGCAGTAGTGAATGGATTCATAATGGTGGTCAGGGCGTGGTTCTGAGGGCTTTAAAAGGAGAGCACGTGAGAGTCTCTCTCTGTCTGCTCTTCCATATTCGGCCATGTGAGACCCCTGAATTGCTGTAAAGTCACCACCAAAGAGGACCCTCGCCAGAGGTGTACCCTGGACTTCGGACTTCCCAGCCTTCAAAACTGTAAGCAATAAATTTTGTTTTCTTTATAAATCATCCAATTGTGTGTATTTTGTTATACACAAGGGAAATGAGCTCATACACAGAGGGACCACTGTGCTCCTGGTCTGAGAGGAGGATGGGTCAGTGTCAACAGAAACATTGTTTTCTAGATGTGTGAGATGAGTCACTAAAACCATGTTGCATAAAAGAGGTGTGATGGGATTGAATATCCTGGTCTGGAAATGAAGAGAACCGAGTCTGTCTAACCTTACGTTTGATCCTAGGAAGGTGAGTTAATTACTATAGACCTCGATTTCATCATCTACTAAGTGCAAAGTCTTAGGTATGGTAATGGCCATCCTACCCACATTCCTGTAGCTGCAGATATATATGTCAAAGTATGTTGGAAAACTGCAGAATGTAATACTACTACTCTGATACACATCTGGATTTTAACCCTGGTTTTGCATCTTCTTATCTGGGCAAATTACTCAGTCTTTCTGACTCTATTTCTAACTGTGAAAAATAGCAGCGTGTTTCAGGGTAAGGTGATTCAATCTTCTCCTTCACTACTGTGGTATTAAAATGTCCTCTTCTGAGGCTAATTCTGTTTAGAACTGCTCAGCCAGGGCGTATGGGACTGTGTTATACTGAGGACCAATGCAAACCTTAATTTCTTTAGCAAAGGCAAATTCTTAGCTAGTAGTGAGCACAGTGACTGTCTCTGACCCACGAGCAGGTGCACAATTCCATTTCCACCCTCAGGACTGACCTCCTGCTGCCCAGAGAGAGGGACTGGGGAGTGGAGAGGGTTCTGAGAGGCTGATGTCACCGCACCCTATATAAGGGCCTCATTTAGGCTCCTGCAGGCAGTTTGGAAGCAGCAGAGGAGTGAGTTAGGTCCTGGTTGCTGGATTTTTTTTAACTTTTCTTCTTTAAGGCAGACACTGCACAGCTGTTGAGTGAAATGCAGCCTCCACAGAGAACTCCAAGCCTCAGACCTTCCAAGCAGAGGAAGAGGCCAGGTAACATTCTCGGGGCAGCTTTCTGGGTTACTGAAGAAAAAGAGGAGAGGACACAGTCTGCTCTTGCTGTTTACTCACCTTTTGCACTTCAAATATTCACAGCAACCAGACAAGAGGAACTTGCTGGAATCCAGACAAAGCTCCCAAACAAGATCCCAGTAAGACTCCATTGTACTTCCCCAGGGGGGCTGTGATCCTGTTCTTTGAAAAGCAAACACCAGCCAATGGCCTCCCTCTCTCTGTTCCGTGTTCCTAAGGCACACAGGACTCTGAGTCACGTTCTTAGGCACCTGTTTCAGGAGAGATTCATGCTGACACCCTTGACGGGTGATTGTGCAGTGTTAGCCCAGAAAGAAGGTCCAGCCCCTGCTGGACAAATCCAAGTTCCCGGTCCAACAGGAGCTGACCGTGACCCAGTTCCTCAGCATCATGCAGTCGGTGTGTGCCTGGGCCTTTTGGAAGGATGGGATGGCAGAGAGAGACTGGAAAGAATTTATGTTTCACCTTCTCCCTTTTAAAAGAGATGATCTCATGAGTGACTTTTTTAAACAGGTGGGAAGTACCTTGCTAGCAACCCTAAAGAAAGTGACACCTCCCAATTTCGATGGAACAGCACTTTTTTCTTTCCATATTTTATTGGTACCATATTTTGATTATCAAATTTCTCTAAGAAGTTTTCAAAGGACCCTTTGGAAACTAGTCTAAAGAGCCCTCTGTTTTCAAATATTTTAAAAGTCCAGGGACAGCATTTTCCCTCTGTGTAGTTCTTTCCCCCCTGATGGCAGGAAGGAAATTTTCAGTAGGGAACAGCTCAGTCCACCTGCTGAAATCCCCAAGCAGAAGAACCAGGTTTCCCCACACCCAGCTTCCTCCCACTGGGAACAATGAGAGCCAGAGCAAAGCAAATGCTGCTGTCTCCACAGATAAACTTAGGGGATTAAAGTTGTCACCTGCCAGCTGGACTCAATAAAAAAGTGATACAAAACTAAAAATAGCTGATAGGGTGAATACACAGCTGGTAAATGTCTCCCTGAGCTGGAAACAATGTCTGAAGGTTTTGGCTGATGCAGGCAGCTTCTTCAGAGATTTATTATGATGTTTATGAGCTCTTTTAGAACTCTGCAGTCTCCTCAGACCTGCTAAGAATGAATCCAGTAGAAACCAGGGCAACTACAGGGAAACCACAGTCAGGCTTAGATCCCAGTTTCTGTCAGACTCCAGAATGCTGTCAGGGGCTCTAGTGGCTTCCCAAAAAGTAAGTTTTGCAAAACTGTCCAGTTGGCTCAGTTGGTTAGAGTGTGGTGTTCTACCAAGGGCAAAGACTCAGATCCCCATACCAGCCAGCCACCAAAAAAAGAAAAGAAAAGGGTGAGTTTTGACAAAATTTCCTCTTTTTTTTCCATGTAAGTGTACCTCCAAATTGGGTGCATGCACTTCCAAGTCTCATCTCAGCAGTATGAATTTCTACATTAATTCATAGAGAAAGATTTCTATTAGGCACTGTATTAGTCCATTTCTGTTGCTTATAACAAAACACCTGGAACTGGGTGATTGATAAAGAAAATGAGATTTATTGATTATAGTTTCAGAGGCTGGGAAGTCCGAAGTCCAGGGAACACATCTGGTGAGAGTCATGGTGGTGGCAACGATGACCCAGGGGTCTCACGTGGTAGAAAATGGCAGAGCAGAGAGAGACTAACTGCTCATGTGCTCTCCTTTTAAAGCCCTCAGAGCCATGCCCCTGACCACCATTATTAATCCATTCATTACAGCATGGTCCTACAATCCAGTCACCTCTTCAAGGTCCCACCTTTCAATCACCATACTAGGATATCCCACCCTCAACAGTCACAGTGGGGATTAAGCCTCAGTGAGGTTGGGGAGGGGGCATCCGATCTACAGCACCATCTTTTATTATTATTGTTATTATTATTTTAGTTGTGGTAAAATACACATCACATAAAATTTGCTGTCAACCATTTTTAAGTGCCCAGGTCAGTGGCATTAAGTCACATGGTTGTGCAGCCATCAGCTCCGTCCATCTCCAGAGCTCTTCCATCTTCCCAAACTGAAACTCTGTACCCATTAAACACTAACCTCCCGTTCCCCCTCCCCCCAGCCCCTACTGACCAGCATTCTACTTTCTGTGTCTATGATTTTCACTAAGTACCTCGTATAAGTGGAATCATACAGTATTTGTCTTTTAGTGACTGGCTTATGTCACTCAGCATAATGTCCTCACGGTCCATCCATGTTGTAGCATGTGTCAGAATGTCCTTTCTTGTTAAGAATGACTTTCTTGTATACATATGCCATTTTGTACATCCATTCATTCATTGGTGGACACGTGGTTTGCTTCTGTGCCTTGGTTTCTTTATCTGTAAGTAGAGAATCATACAGGGTAAGGGCCAAGGTTTTGTATAAAAAGTTAAGTTGTGACCAGATGTAAATTGCTATTCCCTGAGTGAGTGGTGCAGGCAGGCAAACAGACATAAATGAGACTTTGAAAGACAACAGGCAGGGATGGGATATCTAGAAACTTTTCTAGAACAATGTTTCTCAAAGTGGGATCTACTGCCCCACAATCATGCTGCTTCCCACATCTGCCAAGTCAAATCCTGTGGGACGCACCCAGGAAGCTGCCTTCTGAGTTTGGGAGACAGGGCATCTCACCAGGTGGGAAAGTACACACACAGCGGCCACACGGAGGTGAAGGTGGGATCAGAAGCTTAGTCCCTGTCTCCCCCATCCCGCTCCTCACCACCCCAGGATCCACATGGTTCTCAAGGCCCCTGGAGCCTTTTACTTGCTGGTGAACCACAAGACCCTGGAGAGCATGAGTGTGACCATGGCAGATATCCACAGGGAACACAAGGACGAGGATGGCTTCGTGTGCCTGACCTCACCTCCCAGGAGACGTTCGGCTGCCAGCCAGCAGCCCCAGTGATGGAGCGGCCTCGGGGACAGACCGTGCAATCCTCTCTAGCCCCCGTCACAAAGAACTTATCGGGTTGCTTCTTGGCCTTTTGGCGAAGATCAAGTGTAGTATGTGCTCGTCACAGCTTAGTATCTGACATGCCCTCTGTTTGAGGATGCAATATGAGGTGCGCGTTTGGTACAAGGACATGGACCGTGGAGTTGTTCTACCCACTCCGCGCATTCGTCTCGTGTTGCTCCCTTGTGGGTAACTATCGGTTCCCACCCAAGTGCCAAAGCAGCAAGCTCTACTTCTCCTTGCTCCCAAAGCCACTTACTACTTTGATCTCAGATAAAGGGTGTATCTGATATTATACTGATAAGCACAGATGCTACACATCACTGAAAAAAACCAAAAACCAAAAAAAAGTGCCTGACTGATGCAGCAGATGCTGGGAGAAGAGATTCCTCTGAAGTGAAAGACATTAAAGGGGTCCAGGGTGGTAAGGATGGGCCAAACAGCCCCATCAAATGACTCTGAAGCCATGGGGATTTCTTTCATGGTTTCTCTTTTCATGCTCCTTTATTAGAAGAAAATTTTGGATTGCTCTTGGAAATGTAGTAAGCAGTACCTCTTTTCTGCATAAGAACAGTTAGCTTGTGTGATGAGCTGCAGAGGTATAATAAGCGTCTTCTGCAGTGGATGTGGGCAGGCCCTTGGGGAGCTTGATGTCCCCCCTGTGTGTGGGCAGAGTCCTGTGCATGGCTTTCATCCTCCAGTGGGCCAGACCACCTCCTCGTATGGTGGCTTCAGGGCTGCATCACAAGGGGCAACATTGATGGTTAAAGTCCTCTTGTGACCGTGGCTTTGGCACTCACCTAGTACCATTTCTCCCACATTTTTGGTCAAGCCCAGATTCAAGGAGTGAGCAAACAGACCATCTCTTGATGGAAAAAGCTTCAAAGATTTTATAGCCATGTTTCATCATCTAGCATAGACTTTTTTTTTTTTCCTTTTTGTCTTTTTTCGTGTCCGGCAACGGATCGCAACCCTCAGTGTCGCGCCTGTACCGGACCGGGACCGGCAATGGGATCGCAACCCTCAGTGTCGCGCCCACACCTCACTCAGCCAGTGAGCAGGAACCGGTCTGTATGTGGGATCCGAACCCTCGGCGGGAGCGCC